CCGCCCCCTTCATGCTATCAAGATAATCCGCCCCAGCGGGCGACCCTTGAGGCACTTTCAACCTTCGGGCTCTGATATTTAAGATGTAACAGCCTTGATTGAAATGCCCCTTGCCACTGGCACAGAGGTGAAAGGAGCTAAAGTGAGCCATCCTGTCCCATTCCTTGCTGCACTTGGAGTTGTGTAAGTCAATGCAACAGGCGCTGCTTGCCGGGCTCTCCCCGGCTGAGGCGATGGCGGATGCCCAACTCAGCTTTGGCACCTAGGGCCAACCAGGCAGTGGCAGTGGAATAGTCATGTGACATGTGTGTCTCATGGGCTGTCCAAGCGCCGCTCGCCGGGCAACTGACACAGCGTGCTTGGCTGTGCAATTTCGAGGGCAACACTTTGCTCCTTGGCCTCGGCACGCAAAGTGAAGCCAAAGCTCAGATGGCATGCGAATCATTCTGGCAACGGCCGCCATGCCATACTTGCGTTGCGCAACTTACATCTACATCGGCCTACTTCTGCTGCTGGAGGCCGGTTGGTGATCCAAGAGTTGGGGATGGGGCCCAAGCACAGTGAAACAGCAGCCCAAAATGCGTCTGACGGGCATCCTGCCGTCTAGCTTGCAGGGCCCGAAGATCTGGAACGGCAAGCGCCATGGGTGTCTCAATGGCGATGCACGCCTCTGATGCGTATGAACTTCTTCACTCATTCGCTAAAAGCCACGAAAGCTCCAAAGTAGTTGCGCACCTTCATCGTGGCTGAGGTGAGATCACTGGGTGGGCTCGCTATGCTTAGCGCGGAAACATCCTCTTGGGCAAAACTTGCACAAGGGCCCTCAACTCGCGCGCTCTTCCACCTCAACGAGCGCAGCAGGCCTGCGGTTCGGCGAACTGAGCAGGTGTGCGTGCAATAAGCAAAAGACTCAACCTTGGAAGAATTCCCAAGCATGTCCGTGAAGGCTTTAGACTTGCGCTCCGGTCCCCTTCATGCTGGCACGCTATCAAGATAATCCGCCCCAGCGGGCGACCCTTGAGGCACTTTCAACCTTCGGGCTCTGATATCTAAGATGTAACAGCCTTGATTGAAATGCCCCTTGCCACTGGCACAGAGGTGAAAGGAGCTGAAGTGAGGTAAGGTAAGGTAAGGCAAGGTGGCCCAAAGACAACTGAGTCCTCCCCCAATGAGCTATCCTGTCCCATTCCCTGCTGTGCTTGGAGTTGTGTTGTAGCTATGGCAGGTCACGCAGTTTACCTACGTCAGCTTCTTTGGTTTTGCTATTGGTAGCGTTCTGTAGCTCCCTCTAGCTTCCAACAGATTTCCCGTTGGAATTGGTTGGCTCCCGAAAGTTATCCCTTGCACACAAAGCAGGCGGTTTTTTCACGCTGGCATGTTCTGACTTGCCATGCAATGCAGAGACTGCCTTGATTGAAATACCCCTGGCTATTGGACAGAAGGAGCCAAAGTGAGCAATCCTGTCCCATTCCTTGCTTTGCTTGGAGTTGTGTTGTAGCTATGGCAGGTCACGCAGTTTACCTACATCAGCTTCTTTGGTGTTGCTATTGGTAGCTTTCTGTAGCTCCCTCTAGCTTCCAACCGATTTCCCGTTGGAATTGGTTGGCTCCCGAAAGTTGGCCCACAGAAAGCAGGCGATGTTTTACACGCCATGTTCTGGCTTGCCATGTGCGGAGACAGCGGCTGCTCGCTCCTCAGCACAAGGTCAGCGGCCAGCGCCAAGTCCTATGCCAGAATGTTAGCCACATTCAGCCGCTCGGCGACGATGTAACTGGTCAGAACTACTCTGTTGCGGTTGCAAACTCCATGCGTCGGTTGCGGGTGTCATGACCGCTCACCTGTGACATGGGCGTTTGGACGGCCATGTCAGCGTAGACGCGTGCTTGCGGTGACCAAACCGCCTCAACTATTGCCTCCAAGCCAATGGCAGCGGGCGTAGCATGCTGAATATGTTGTCCTTGAACTTCCCATCAAAAATCGTTTTGAGAACGGGCTCGAAATGTTCAGCCACTTGGCGCCCCCAAACAGGGCACCCTCAGAAACAGGCTCTCCCGGGCAATGTATCCTCTGAGGCTCAACCAGGACCCCGATTCCCACTGTTCCAACCCAAACCTGTTTCTCTTGGTTGGCACGCCTCTGGCAGGACGCCCGAGACTGCCCCGCGGGAGACTGCTCGTGATGCGTGCGTAAGTTCAGGCTGTGGTCTTTTGCTTCACTTCAGTGAGGGAAAAGGCACTGCCCGGTTTCCCTTGCAAGGCGACCAGACCAAAAAATGATCTTCCAGGGCACCTTCAGGCGCCGCAGCTGGCGCAAAGCCTCCAGCCATCCCCCCGACTGCTTGCAGCGCTGCAGGCGCTGATTGCATAACTCGGTGGACAGCCTGGCGGGTTCGATTCGGCCGCCTTCTGCCAGATTGCCGACGTCAGAATGGACATGAACCTTGACACCCAAGGGCTAATTCAACCAAAAAAGACTAGATCTTCCTGGAAGACTGGTTGACGGCTTCGTTGGCTATAGGTTCTAATTCCCGGACGCCTACACATTTGCACCGGTGGTGCTCCGACCCAACCAAAAGGAGATTTTATAGTGGACCAACAGGCGTTTAACCTAAAGCAGAGATACCTGGAACAGCAAAACTGTTTCGGGGTTGCAGCGCCACTGTTTTTTCCCGTTTCAAGGCAGAGCCCCGAAGGCCCCTCAAACCTCGCCTGGCCAAAGGTCACAAGACAAACAGGCGCCCAAGACATGGGTTCTCCATCTGATTTCTTCGCAAACTCAGAGTTTGTTCGCCCAAATTCCCACAATAGGTCTTCAGACCCCCCGCACTGCAGCCTCGGGAACTTGGAGCGGGTGGCCGAGCATTGCATCCGCGTTGCTGGATTTGATTGAGTTCCCAGAAATCTGTGTCTTTTCTCAAGGGTGGGTGTTCTGTTGGCGCCCTTAAAACCACCAAAAAGCCACCTCTGGGATGCCACATGATTGTACTTTGGTGCCAGCAATCAACGGTCCCTGAAGAATAACCAAAAGACCCGACGCTACTTGCAAAGGCTCTTCTGTGCGGTTTGCTCCTGACACCCAGAACAGGGGACAGTTGAGGCCGGGCTTTCGGGGTAGGCCAAGGCATGTCATCCACGATGCGCTCTTGTTGAATGTGTGCATATGCGCTATCGAAGTTCTACACATTATCTTATATGTGAGCTGCCAACTCATCCTTCACACCAGGCATCTGGATCCAAACAAACCCTCTGCGAAGAGAAATGTCACTTCTCGCCAGAGCAGGAAGCACAGCAAATCGCCCATTTCAGACAGGAGCCTTTTACCATCCGCATTTGCACATTTTAGGTTTGCATTTCGCCCGAATACCGGCCCCTAGGGAAAGAACACAAACAACTTATTTCAAACCAGGATCGATATCTGGAACTACCCTGTTGGCAATTTCCCCCGGGTTGCCGGGCGAAAGCCCTAAGATAATCGGGGGGTGAGACTGAACGGTTTCCCGGAACTAAGCAGCTTGGAGGCTGCTCAGCTCGATGTTCTGCGGCTCACGGGAAGATTATGACCTACAGCTGTGGGTCAACTGGACCTGGTTTCAAGCGGTGCAGGAAAATCAAACCACAAAAGAAACCGCAGGCTTCATCCTTTCCATTTTCCAAGGAAACCCAGTTGGGCGTTGTTTGACCCACCCACATAGGTTTATGTTCAAAGGAATCCTGACATTTCGAGAGCCGAGAACTAACACTGGGAAAACCACCCAGGATAAAACCTAGTAGTGGGAATCAATCATCCTGGGATAGCTATACAAACTCTTTCCCAAGGCCGAATGGTTCGAGAACTCATGGGCAGCACAAACCAAAAAATGCCCCGAAAACACAGCAGGATCACCCCCAAAAATGTCACCGACCGACAGTGGTGTTCCGGGCTCTCTTTGCATCATCTGATTCCTCTGCGAATTGTTTCGAAATAGGGAAACACTGCAAAATCGAGTGGCTCCATTGAGTTTTCCCGTTAACAATCGAAGGAGGGCTTAGCCTCAAAGCAAATTTGGTTCAGCACACTCAACAAGTTGTGAGAAAACCCACCCCCCAAAAAAAAATGTTTCTTCGAACGATCTGGAAGCTAGGCGGCGGTGTACAGTTTATGGTATCAAGGAGAGCACAAAGCACTTTCGGCGGAAGCTCACAGGGCTGCGTGGACAACATGAAGGCAAATCTTACATTACGCACCTTACCTCTTCTCGAGATATTCTGGCTACGAGGCGGTGCGTAGTATTTGCGGTAAATACGACGCAAAGTGCTCCCGGACAAACTCGGGGGCCTCATTTTGTGCGAGCCTGCGCAGTCGAAACGCACTTCGACATCACACAACATCACGATTTTGCGGTAGACGCAAAGTGCTCCCGGACAAACTCGGCGGCCTGATTTTGTGCGAGCCTGCGCAGTCGAAACGCACTTCGACATCACACAACATCACGATTTTGCGGTAGACGCAAAGTGCTCCCGGACAAACTCGGCGGCCTGATTTTGTGCGAGCCTGCGCAGTCGAAACGCACTTCGACATCACACAACATCACGATTTTGCGGTAGACGCAAAGTGCTCCCGGACAAACTCGGCGGCCTGATTTTGCGCGAGCCTGCGCAATCGAAACGCCAACATCACATTTTCGCGATAAGTACCAACAGGCCTTTACTCCTACCGTAAGAACCCCTCAGTGGACACATTGCTTCGGGAATGAGCGTGTCTCCATGATTGTGGTTAGGGAGGGTTCCAATGCCGTTTTCGCTGGAAGCAATTGTATAATTTTGAGCACGTGCTGAAGAACTTCCAACACATCTTCCCAGTGACCTGAGAGGCGACTGTCCGAAAAGATGGTCAAAGCACCTGGGTCCTGCCTTCGCACACAGTCATCACAGCGTTGTAGGGCACCACGTCTGCTTACACCCGGCCCTGCCAAAAAAGGTCGTGCAAGACTCATATCAGACACTTCATCTTTACAGCGCAGCTCAATTGACCCCTGAACAGGTTCCGAAGAACAAGTCTTCTGTGAGCAAGTGCCTTGCAAAGCCCTGACTTTTTGCTCTCTCGACACGACGCTCTTCGAAATATACAAGAAGGAATGGCAGGATGTCCCACCAGCCATGTTGACCCCAGTCCTGTGTCCAGTTCTCTGTAAACCCAGCACAGCGCCCGCCTTGCACTAGACAGGGATTAGTGGATGATTTTTTCACATGGCCGCCAAATATCTTTGGTTGCGAAAGGCAAACTGAAAGGAAACCAACTACGTTGGGGCCCCTCGTGTTGAGACATACCCAAATCGCTTCATGCGTGGCCAGCCAAGCCATGAGCACGTCGGCTTGCAAAGCGCTGCTTCGATGCATGGATGTACGGTTTTCGACCCTGCCCCGAGCCACGCAGCGCTGGCGCTGTGGTCGAAGCTGCCACGGCGGTCCAAGTCGGCTCTGCGCTCCACAGAGAACGCTGCAAAGGAGGCCTCTGCTGTCCAACATGCTATGCGCAAACCTCAGAAGCACTCCGGCAACAATTCAACAGCACAAGCAGGCCCTGACTGCTTTGCGACATGCTACGCGCAAATGAGGGCACTTTGGGCGCCGCACAAGCAAGCCCTGAGCGCGTCGGATCGAAAAGTGGCGCTTCCCAGGCAAGCCACACAGCGCTGGCGCTGGAGTGGTCGAAGCTGCCACGAAGGTCCAAGTCGGCTCTGCGCTCCACAGAGAACGCTGCGAAGGAGGCCTCTGCTTTCCGACATGCTACGCGCAAACCTCAGCAGGATTCCGGCAACAAGAGTGGTCGAAGCTGCTGCAACGAGCCACGTCGGCTCTGAACGATTGGACGGAGGCCTCTGCTTTGAGAAGTGCTCTCCGCAAGCCTCGGAAGGCGCTTTGGGACTCTGGCGACAATTCAACAGGCTCCCAAGGCGCTGCAAGTAGAGGCTCCCAGGCCTTGTCGCAAGCAAAGAAGGAAGGCTGTAGAACAGGATTCAACGCGGCATCATCTGAACCATCCAGTGCATGCCACGTGTCCAAAACCATCTGGCTGCGGCTGCAGGGAGATTGTCCAAGCAAGCTGACGCGTCGCAGTTTGGTCCATCGGGCAGCTGGCCCAGAAACAAGCCATGTTCCAACAGACATTGTAGGCCACAACTTCCATTGCCACTGCCATTGCCACTGCAATTGGCCAAACAAAAGGATGGAAGGTGACTGTGATGAAACCGAGGCAGTGCTGACATGTGACGGGCCAGAGAGAAGCAAGCCTGAGCCCAGCCATGACGCAGGCAGTCCGCAGATGGCAAGCCCAGAACCGCTGGTGAAGAAGGCCGGCAAGTAATGGGTGTCTTTGCGACATGTTTTGAGTAAATCTTGGAAGGCAACTTCACTGGACGTGGGCAACAATTCAGCAGGCCCCCTCCCGCATAGCTTCGTCGCAAGTGGAGCCCGGACCTTGTTGCATGTGGCAGCATGCAACGTGGCGTCTGAATCTGAACCAAGTGTTGTCCTGAACGGCCTTAAATGAAGAGGGTGAAGGAATATGTTTACTAGGTCTAACCCCCTCACCAAGGTGATAGCGAGGAAAGGGAAATGATGGGTGAGATCTGACCCATCACGTTCCCCCACACACGCTGCTGTCGGAAAGGGATACCGGAGCGAGTGAAGGCCATCTGCCCAACCTTGCGGACTTCGTCCGGCAGTTTGAAAGGCCTTGTGCCACACGCAGCGGGCACCTGTCTCACTCTGAACCCAGTTCGCACGAGGTATCGCCCTCATGCGAAGATTGCCAAGGCCTTGCGCGAAGCCAACCGCCGCTTGCCAAGCTTCGCAAATTTCAATGAAAAGAGTACTGATCTCATGAGCTTGTGTCTGCTCTCAAAATGGGTGGTTTCCCATTGTCGGAGTTAAAACAAAGACGCACCCACATGATGTCATCAGTTTGGCAGGCGCTGTGGATGCACGAAATCCACACACACCAGTTGGGATGGATGAGGCCTGGATGGAACCCCTTGAATGCTGGACAAGCGCAGAAATCCACCTACCAACTGGGCCGCGGTGCGGTCAACAAAGCGCACGATTTCTTGCCAAAGCGCATGGAATTCTTGCCAAAGCGCACGGTGTTCTTGCCAAAGCGCACGTGTTTGGCATCGTTTTCTGCAAACGGCGTCGTTTTGCTAAAACGATGGACACTGTTGGAGTCATAATGTGCTTGCAGGGCCCAAAGTCTCAATGGCGATGCACGCCACTGATGCGTATGAACTTCTTCACTCATTCGCTTAAAAGCCACGCAAGCTCCAAAGAAGTTGCGCGCCTTCATCGTGGCTGAGGTGAGATCACTGGGTGTGGGCTCGCTATGCTTAGCGCGGAAACATCCTCTTGTGCGTAAAATAAGCAAAAGACTCGGCCTTGGAAAAACTCCCAAGCATGTCCGAGAAGGCTTTAGACTTGCGCTCCGGCCCCCTTCATGCTGGCACGCTATCAAGATAATCCGCCCCAGCAAGCGACCCTTGGTTGAAAGTGCCTTCGGACTCTGATATCTAAGATGTAACAGCCTTGAATGAAATGCCCCTGACCATTGGAAAAAGCTTTCTGTAGCTGCCTCAAGCTTCCAACCAACGGGAAAAGTTGGCCCTTGCACAGAAAGCAGGCGGTGTTTTCACGCTTGCATGTTCTGACTTGCCACGCAATGCAGAGACAGCCTTGATTGCAAATGACTCTGGCCATTGGAACAGAAGGAGCTAAAGCGAGCAAAGTTGGCCCTTGCGCAGAAGGTGGTGTTTTCACGCTTCCATGGTCTGACTTGCCACGCAATGCAGAGACAGCCTTGATTGCAAATGACTCTGACCATTGGAACAGAAGGAGCTAAAGTGAGCTATCCTGTCCCATTCCTTGCTTTGCTTGGCTGCTGAGGCGATGGCGGATGCCCAACACAGCTTTGGCACCTACGGCCAACCAGTCTCATGGGTTGTCAAAACGCCACTCGCCGGGCAACTGACACAGCGTGCTTGGCTGTGCAATGTCCCTTGGCCTCTGCACGCAAAGTGAAGCCAACGCTCAGATGGCATGCGAATCATTTTGGCAACGGCCGCCGCGCAATACTTGCGTTGCGCAACTTACTTTACATCGGCCTACTTCTGCTGCTGGAGGCCGGTTGGTGATCCAAAAGTTGGGGATGGGGCCCAAGCACAGTGAAACAGCAGCCCAAAATGCGTCTGCCGGGCATCCTGCCGTCTAGCTTGCAGGGCCCGAAGATCTGGAACGGCAAGCGCCATAAGTGTCTCAATGGCGATGCACGCCTCTGATGTGTATGAACTTCTTCACTCATTCGCTAAAAGCCACGAAAGCTCCAAAGTAGTTGCGCACCTTCATGGTGGCTGAGGTGAGATCACCGGGTGGGCTCGCTCTGCTTAGCGCGGAAACATCCTCTTGGGCAAAACTTGCACAAGGGCCCTCAACTCGCGCGCTCTTCAACCTCAACGAGCACAGCAGGCCTGCGGTTCGGCGAGCTGAGCAGGTGTGCGTACAATAAGCAAAAGACTCGACCTTGGAAGAATTCCCAAGCATGTCCGTGAAGGCTTTAGACTTGCGCTCCGGTCCCCTTCATGCTGGCACGCTATCAAGATAATCCGCCCCAGGGCGACCCTTGAGGCACTTTCAACCTTCGGGCTCTGATATCTAAGATGTAACAGCCTTGATTGAAATGCCCCTTGCCACTGGCACAGAGGTGAAAGCAGCTGAAGTGAGGTAAGGTAAGGTAAGGCAAGGTGGCCCAAAGACAACTGAGTCCTCCCCCAATGAGCTATCCTGTCCCATTCCCTGCTTTGCTTGGAGTTGTGTTGTAGCTATGGCAGGTCACGCAGTTTACCTACGTCAGCTTCTTTGGTTTTGCTAGTGGTACCTTTCTGTAGCTTCCTCTAGCTTCCAACAGATTTCCCGTTGGAATTGGTTGGCTCCCGAAAGTTATCCCTTGCACACAAAGCAGGCGGTGTTTTCACGCTGGCATGTTCTGACTTGCCATGCAATGCAGAGACTGCCTTGATTGAAATACCCCTGGCTATTGGACAGAAGGAGCCAAAGTGAGCAATCCTGTCCCATTCCTTGCTTTGCTTGGAGTTGTGTTGTAGCTATGGCAGGTCACACAGTTTACCTACGTCAGCTTCTTTGGTGTTGCTATTGGTAGCTTTCTGTAGCTCCCTCTAGCTTCCAACCGATTTCCCGTTGGAATTGGTTGGCTCCCGAAAGTTGGCCCACAGAAAGAAGGCGACGCTTTACACGCCATGTTCTGACTTGCCATGTGCGGAGACAGCGGCTGCTCGCTCCTCAGCACAAGGTCAGCGGCCAGCGCCAAGTCCTATGCCAGAATGTTAGCCACATTCAGCCGCTCGGCGACAATGTAACTGGTCAGAACTACTCTGTTGCGGTTGCAATCTCCATGCGTCGGTTGCGGGTGTCATGACCGCTCACCTGTGACACGGGCGTTTGGACGGCCATGTCAGCGTAGACGCGTGCTTGCGGTGACCAAACCGCCTCAACCATTGCCTCCAAGCCAATGGCAGCGGGCGTAGCATGCTGAATGTGTTGTCCTTGAACTTCCCCTCAAAAATCGTTTTGAGAACGGGCTCGAAATGTTCAGCCAGTTGGCGCCCCCAAACAGGGGACCCTCAGAAACAGGATCTCCGTGCGATGTATCCTCTGAGGCTCTGGGGCAACCAGGACCCCGGTTCCCACTGTTCCAACCCAAACCTGTTTCTCTCGGTTGGCACGCCTCTGGCAGGACGCCCGAGACTGCCCCACGGGAGACTGCTCGTGACGCGTGCGTAAGTTCAGGCTGTGGTCTTTTGCTTCACTTCAGTTTGGGAAAAGGCACTGCCCGGTTTCGCTTGCAAGGCGACCAGACCAAAAAATGATCTTCCAGGGCACCTTCAGGCGCCGCAGCTGGCGCAAAGCCTCCAGCCATCCCCCCGACTGCTTGCAGCGCTGCAGGCGCTGATTGCATAACTCGGTGGACAGCCTGGCGGGTTCGATTCGGCCGCCTTCTGCCAGATTGCCGACGTCAGAATGGACATGAACCTTGACACCCAAGGGCTAATTCAACCGCGCAGCTAGATCTGGATCTTCCTGGAAGACTGGTTGACGGCTTCGTTGGCTATAGGTTCTAACAAATGTCTTCCCGGACGCCTACACATTTGAACCGGTGGTGCCCCGACCCAACCAAAAGGAGATTTTATAGTGGACCAACAGGCGTTTAACCTAAAAGCAGAGATACCTGGAACAGCAAAACTGTTTCGGGGTTGCAGCGCCACTGTTTTTTCCCGTTTCAAGGCAGAGCCCCGGCCCCTCAAACCTCGCCTGGCAAAAGGTCACAAGACAAACAGGCGCCCAAGACATGGGTTCTCCATCTGATTTCTTCGCAAACTCAGAGTTTGTTCGCCCAAATTCCCACAATAGGTCTTCAGACCCCCCGCACTGCAGCCTCGGGAACTTGGAGCGGGTGGCCGAGCATTGCATCCGCGTTGCTGGATTTGATTGAGTTCCCCAGAAATCGGTGTGTCTTTTCTCAAGGGTGGGTGTTCTGTTGGCGCCCTTAAAACCACCAAAAAGCCACCTCTGGGATGCCACATGATTGTACTTTGGTGTCAGCAATCAACGGTCCCTGAAGAATAACCAAAAGACCCGACGCTACTGGCAAAGGCTCTTCTGTGCGGTTTGCTCCTGACACCCAGAACAGGGGACAGTTGAGGCCGGGCTTTCGGGGTAGGCCAAGGCATGTCATCCACGATGCGCTCTTGTTGGATGTGTGCATATGCGCTATCGAAGTTCTACACATTCTCTTATATGTGAGCTGCCAACTCATCCTTCACACCAGGCATCTGGATCCAAACAAACCCTCTGCGAAGAGAAATGTCACTTTTCTCGCCAGAGCAGGAAGCACAGCAAACCGTCCATTTCAGGCAGTGCCTTTTACCATCCGCATTTGCACATTTTAGGTTGCATTTCGCCCGAATACCGGCCCGTAGGGAAAGAACACAAACAACTTATTTCAAACCAGGATGGATATCTGGAACTACCCTGTTGGCAATTTTTTCCGGGTTGCCGGGCGAAAGCCCTAAGATAATCGGGGGCTGAGACTGAACGGTTTTCCCGGAACTAAGCAGCTTGGAGGCTGCTCAGCTCGATGTTCTGCGGCTCACGGGAAGATTCTGACCTACAGCTGCGGGTCAACTGGACCTGGTTTCAAGTGGTGCAGGAAAATGAAACCACAAAGGAAACCGCAGGTTTCATCCTTTCCATTTTCCAAGGCAACCCAGTTGGGCGTTGTTTGACCCACCCACATAGGTTTATGTTCAAAGGAATCCTGACATTTCGAGAACCGAGAACTAATACTGGGAAAACCACCCAGGATAAAACCTAGTAGTGGGCATCAATCATCCTGGGATAGCTCTACAAACTCTTTCCCAAGGCCGAATGGTTCGAGAAATGCCCCGAAAACACAGCAGGATCACCCCCAAAAATGTCACCGACCGACAGTGGTGTTCCGGGCTCTCTTTGCATCATCTGATTCCTCTGCGAGTTGTCTCGAAATAGGGGAAACACTGCAAAATCGAGTGGCTCCATTGAGCTTTCCCGTTAACAATCCAAGGAGGGCATAGCCTCAAAGCAAATTTGGTTCAGCACACCCAATAAGTTGTGCTCCCGGACAAACTCGGGGGCCTCATTTTGTGCGAGCCTGCGCAGTCGAAACGCACTTTGACATCACACAACATCACAATTTTGCAGTAAATACGACGCAAAGTGCTCCCGGACAAACTCGGGGGCCTCATTGTGTGCGAGCCTGCGCAGTCGAAACGCACTTCGACATCACACAACATCACGATTTTGCGGTAGACGCAAAGTGCTCCCGGACAAACTCGGGGGCCTCATTTTGTGCGAGCCTGCGCAATCTAAACGCCAACATCACATTTTCGCGATAAGTACCACCAGGCCTTTACTCCTACCGTAAGAACCCCTCAGTGGACACATTGTTTGGGGAATGAGCGTGTCTCCATGATTGTGGTTAGGGAGGGTTCCAACGCCGTTTTCGCTGGAAGCAATTGTATAATTTTGAGCACGTGCTGAAGAACTTCCAACACATCTTCCCAGTGACCTGAGAGGCGACTGTCCGAAAAGATGGTCAAAGCACCTGGATCCTGCCTTCGCACACAGTCATCACAGTGTTGTACGGCACCACGTCTGCTTCACCCGGCCCTGCCAAAAAAGGTCGTGCAAGACTCATATCAGACACTTAATCTTTACAGCGCAGCTCAGCTGACCCCTGAACAGGTTCCGAAGAACAAGTCTTCTGTGAGCAAGTGCCTTGCAAAGCCCTGACTTTTTGCTCTCTCGACACGACGCTCTTCGAAATATACAAGAAGGAATGGCAGGATGTCCCACCAGCCATGTTGACCCCAGTCCTGTGTCCAGTTCTCTGTAAACCCAGCACAGCGCCCGCCTTGCACTACACAGGGATTAGTGGATGATGTTTTCACATGGGCGCCAAATATCTTTGGTTGCGAAAGGCAAACTGAAAGGAAACCAACTACGTTGGGGCCCCTCGTGTTGAGACATACCCAAATCGCTTCATGCGTGGCCAGCCAAGCCATGAGCACGTCGGCTCGCAAAGCGCTGCTTCGATGGATGGATGTACGGTTTTCGACCCTGCCCCCAGCCACGCAGCGCTGGCGCTGTGGTCGAAGCTGCCACGGCGGTCCAAGTCGGCTCTGCGCTCCACAGAGAACGCTGCGAAGGAGGCCTCTGCTGTCCAACATGCTACGCGCAAACTTCAGAAGCACTCCGGCAACAATTCAACAGCACAAGCAGGCCCTGACTGCTTTGCGACATGCTACGCGCAAATGAGGGCACTTTGGGCGCCGCACAAGCAAGCCCTGAGCGCGTCGGATCGAAAAGTGGCGCTTCCCAGGCAAGCCACACAGCACTGGCGCTGGAGTGGTCGAAGCTGCCACGAAGGTCCAAGTCGGCTCTGCGCTCCACAGAGAACGCTGCGAAGGAGGCCTCTGCTTTCCGACATGCTACGCGCAAACCTCAGCAGGATTCCGGCAACAAGAGTGGTCGAAGCTGCTGCAACGAGCCACGTCGGCTCTGAACGATTGGACGGAGGCCTCTGCTTTGAGAAGTGCTCTCCGCAAGCCTCGGAAGGCGCTTTGGGACTCTGGCGACAATTCAACAGGCTCCCAAGGCGCTGCAAGTAGAGGCTCCCAGGCCTTGTCGCAAGCAAAGAAGGAAGGCTGTAGAACAGGATTCAACGCGGCATCATCTGAACCATCCAGTGCATGCCACGTGTCCAAAACCATCTGGCTGCGGCTGCAGGGAGATTGTCCAAGCAAGCTGACGTGTCGCAGTTTGGTCCATCGGGCAGCTGGCCCAGAAACAAGCCATGTTCCAACAGACATTGTAGGCCACAACTTCCATTGCCACTGCCTTTGCCACTGCCATTGGCCAAACAAAAGGATGGAAGGTGACTGTGATGAAATCGAGGCAGTGCTGACATGTGACGGGCCAGAGAGAAGCAAGCCTGAGCCCAGCCATGACGCAGGCAGTCCGCAGATGGCAAGCCCAGAACCGCTGGTGAAGAAGGCCGGCAAGTAATGGGTGTCTTTGCGACATGTTTTGAGTAAATCTTGGAAGGCAACTTCACTGGACGTGGGCAACAATTCAGCAGGCCCCCTCCCGCATAGCTTCGTTGCAAGTGGAGCCCGGACCTTGTTGCATGTGGCAGCGTGCAACGTGGCGTCTGAATCTGAACCAAGTGTTGTCCTGAACGGCCTTAAATGAAGAGGGTGAAGGAATATGTTTACTAGGTCTAACCCCCTCACCAAGGTGATAGCGAGGAAAGGGAAATGATGGGTGAGATCTGACCCATCACGTTCCCCCACACACGCTGCTGTCGGAAAGGGATACCGGAGCGAGTGAAGGCCATCTGCCCAACCTTGCGGACTTCGTCCGGCAGTTTGAAAGGCCTTGTGCCACACGCAGCGGGCACCTGTCTCACTCTGAACCCAGTTCGCACGAGGTATCGCCCTCATGCGAAGATTGCCAAGGCCTTGCGCGAAGCCAACCGCCGCTTGCCAAGCTTCGCAAATTTCAATGAAAAGAGTACTGATCTCATGAGCTTGTGTCTCTCAAAATGGGTGGTTTCCCATTGTCTTCCTAAGGAGTCAAGACAAAGACGCACCCACATGATGTCATCAGTTTGGCAGGCACTGTGGATGCACGAAATCCACACACACCAGTTGAGATGGGTGAAGCCTGGGTGGAACCCCTTGAATGCTGGACAAGCGCGGAAATCCACCTACCAACTGGTTGGCGATGTATCTGGAAAAGAGACACGCTTACAGGCGAAAGATACAACGCTGAATACTTTCCAGAATCTGACCATGATGATGATTATGACGATGATGATGATGATGATGATGAATCATCACTGCGTCGCTTGCGCGATTCAATTGCGCTTTACTTGCGCAGCCCCGTGTTTGACTTGCGCGGCCGCTCCTGCAACACACTCCTGCCTGTGATATTACAAGCGGCGGTGCAGCTGATTTGATAGGTCCAAAACAACTGGGAATGACACACACAACGGGTTGTTGTTCCGGCTCAGATGTTACCCGGCGCACCAACTACGTCTCCAGGATGTAAGATTGGATTTCATACCTAGAACTCCAGCGATGCGCAAAGGACACCGTTTGGCGCAAACTGCATGGGCCGCGGTGCGGTCAACAAAGCGCACGATTTCTTGCCAAAGCGCATGGAATTCTTGCCAAAGCGCACGGTGTTCTTGCCAAAGCGCACGTGTTTGGCATCGTTTTCTGCAAACGGCACTAGACAGCGTCGTTTGCTAAAACGATGTTCACAGGACACTGTTGGAGCCTCTAGGTATGCTTACAAGTCGTACAGGTAGCTTCTCTCGTCATAATGTGCTTGCAGGGCCCAAAGTCTCAATGGCGACGCACGCCTCTGATGCGTATGAACTTCTTCACTCATTCGCTTAAAAGCCACGCAAGCTCCAAAGAAGTTGCGCGCCTTCATCGTGGCTGAGGTGAGATCACTGGGTGTGGGCTCGCTATGCTTAGCGCCGGAAACATCCTCTTGTGCGAAAAAGAAGCAAAAGACTTGGCCTTGGAAGAACTCCAAAGCATGTCCGAGAAGGCTTTAGACTTGCGCTCCGGCCCCCTTCATGCTGGCACGCTATCAAGATAATCCGCCCCAGCAAGCGACCCTTGAGGCACTTTCAACCTTCGGACTCTGATATCTAAGATGTAACAGCTTTGAAAAAGCTTTCTGTAGCTGCCTCAAGCTTCCAACCAATGTCCCGTTGGAATTGGGGTGTTTTCACGCTTGCATGTTCTGACTTGCCACGCAATGCAGAGACAGCCTTGATTGCAAATGACTCTGGCCATTGGAACAGAAGGAGCTAAAGCGAGCAAAGTTGGCCCTTGCGCAGAAGGCGGTGTTTTCACGCTTGCATGATCTGACTTGCCACGCAATGCAGAGACAGCCTTGATTGCAAATGACTCTGGCCATTGGAACAGAAGGAGCTAAAGTGAGCTATCCTGTCCCATTCCTTGCTTTGCTTGGCTGCTGAGGCGATGGCGGATGCCCAACACAGCTTTGGCACGTACGGCCAACCAGTCTCATGGGCTGTCAAAACGCCACTCGCCAGGCAACTGACACAGCGTGCTTGGCTTTGCAATGTCGAGCGCAACACTTTGCTCCTTGGCCTCTGCACACAAAGTGAAGCCAACGCTCAGACGGCATGCGAATCATTCTGGCAACGGCCGCCGCGCAATACTTGCGTTGCGCAACTTACTTTACATCGGCCTACTTCTGCTGCTGGAGGCCGGTTGGTGATCCAAAAGTTGGGGATGGGGCCCAAGCACAGTGAAACAGCAGCCCAAAATGCGTCTGCCGGGCATCCTGCCGTCTAGCTTGCAGGGCCCGAAGATCTGGAACGGCAAGCGCCATAAGTGTCTCAATGGCGATGCACGCCTCTGATGTGTATGAACTTCTTCACTCATTCGCTTAAAAGCCACGCAAGCTCCAAAGAAGTTGCGCACCTTCATCGTGGCTGAGGTGAGATCACTGGGTGTGGGCTCGCTATGCTTAGCGCGGAAACATCCTCTTGGGCACAAGGTCCCTCAACTTGCGCGCTCTTCCACCTCAACAAGCGCAGCAGGCCCGCGGTTCGGCGAGCTGAGCAGGTGTTCCCAAGCATGTCCGAGAAGGCTTTAGACTTGAGCTCCGGCCCCCTTCATGCTGGCACGCTATCAAGATAATCCGCCCCAGCAAGCGACCCTTGAGGCACTTTCAACCTTCGGGCTCTGATCTCTAAGATGTAACAGCCTTGATTGCAATGCCCCTGACCATTGGAACTGCTTTGCTTGGAGTTGTGTTGCGCTGATAGGTGCAAGTGCCAACCTGACACGGGTTCAGGCACTGGTGGGGCGACAACCCCATTGTAGCGAGCGGGGGGAAACCTCCGCAGGTCACGACGCACACCAGCAGGGCCAAATCACACTGCAGCTGTGTTGTAGCTATGGCAGGTCACGCAGTTTACCTACATCAGCTTCTTTGGTGTTGCTGTTGGTAGCTTTGCAGCTGCCTCTAGCTTCTAACCGATTTCCCGTTGGAATTGGTTGGTCCCGAAAGTTGGCCCTTGCACAGAAGGCGGTGTTTTCACGCTTGCATGTTCTGACTTGCCACGCGATGCAGAGACAGCCTTGATTGCAAATGACTCTGGCCATTGGAACAGAAGGAGCTAAAGTGAGCTATCCTCCCGCATTCCTTGCTTTGCTTGGAGTTGTGTTGTAGCTATGGCAGGTCACGCAGTTTACCTACATCAGCTTCTTTGGTGTTGCTATTGGTAGCTTTCTGTAGCAGCCTTGAGCTTCCAACATATTTTTCGTTTGAATTGGCTCCAGAAAGTTGGCCCTTGCACAGAAAGCAGGCGGTGTGTTCACGCTTGCATGTTCTGACTTGCCATGCAATGCAGAGACAGCCTTGATTGCAAATGACTCTGGCCATTGGAACAGAAGGAGCTAAAGTGAGCTATCCTCCCGCATTCCTTGCTTTGCTTGGAGTTGTGTTGTAGCTATGGCAGGTCACGCAGTTTACCTACATCAGCTTCTTTGGTGTTGCTATTGGTAGCTTTCTGTAGCTGCCTGGAGCTTCCAACATATTTTTCGTTTGAATTGGCTCCCGAAAGTTGGCCCTTGCACAGAAAGCAGGCAGTGCTTTCACGCTTGCATGTTCTCACTTGCCACGCAATGCAGAGAGAGAGTGGCTGCTCGGCCCTTGGCAGCACAAGGTCCTCAGCCTCGGCCAGCGGCAAATCCTCCCATGTCAGAATGGTAGCCACATTCAGCTGCTTGGCGACGATGCAACTGGTCAGAACCGCTCTGTTGCGGTTGCAAACTCCATGGGTCGGTTGCGGGTGTCATGACCGCTCACCTGTGACATGGGCGTTTGGACGGCCATGTCAGCGTAGACGCGTGCTTGCGGTGACCAAACCGCCTCAACCATTGCCTCCAAAGCCAATGACAGCGGGCGTAGCATGCTGAATATGTTGTCCTTGAACTTCCCCTCAAAAGTCGTTTTGAGAACGGGCTCGACATGTTCAACCACTTGGCGCCCCCAAACAGGGCACCCTCAGAAACAAGAATCACCAGCAACTCTCCCGAGCAATGTGTCCTCTGAGGCTCTGGGGCAACCAGGACCCCCCTTCCGACTGTTCCAACCCTAACAAAACAAACAAGTGCCGAAATTACTTCAGTTGTTGGCATGCCTCTGCCAGGACGGAGACTGCTGGTGATGCGCGCGTAATTTCAGGCCGTGGTCTTTTTGCTTCACTTGAGTGAGGGAAAAGGAACACCGCACGGTTTCCCTTGCAAGGCGACCAAAAAAATGAGTGACCCGCCAGGCCTCCACCAAATTCCCATAGGTGCACTTGATATTCCAACAAGGGAATTTCCTGGGTTGACATCGCCCCCAAAACGGAACCCAAGCGAAAGCCCTGCAGTGATCCGGATTCCCGCCGCTCGAAAATCGGCTCCGCGGGGGGCACCTTCACCGCAGCTGGCGCAAAGCCTCCAGCCATCCCCCCGACTGCTTGCAGCGCTGCAGGCGCTGATTGCAGAACTCGGTGGACAGCCTGGCGGGCTCGATTTGGCCGCCTTCTGCCAGATGCCGACGTCAGAATGGACATGAACCTTGACACCCAAGGGCTAATTCAGCCGCGCAGCTAGATCTTGATCTTCCTGGAAGACTGGTTGACGGCTTCGTTGGCTATAGGTTCTAACAAATGTCTTCCCGGGCGCCATACACATTTGAACCGGTGGTGCTCCTGGTTTCCTACTATGCCAATGGGATAGCTATACAAAGTCTTTCCCAAGAACGAATGGTTCGAGAGCTCATGCGGCAGCACAGGCCAAAAAGAGCCCCGAAAACACAGCAGGATCACCCCCAAAAATGTCACCGACCGACAGTGGTGTTCCGGGCTCTCTTTGCATCATCTGATTCCTCTGCGAATTGTCTCGAAATAGGGAAACACTGCAAAATCGAGTGGCTCCATTGAGCTTTCCTGTTAACAATCGAAGGAGGGCATAGCCTCAAAGCAAACTGGTTCAGCACACCCAATAAGTTGTAAAAAACCTACCCCCCAAAAGATATGTTTCTTCGAACGATCTGGAAGCTAGGCGGCGGTGTACAGTTTATGGTATCAAGGAGAGCACAAAGCACTTTCGGCGGAAGCTCACAGGGCTGCGTGGACAACATGAAGGCAAATCTTACACTACGCGCCTTAGGTCTATTCTGGCTACGAGGCGGCGCACAGCTGTCCTGGCCCAGCTCATTGCGGGAGCCTCAGCCTTTGGGCTGTTTGCAGCCACCAGGAAGGGGCTTCATGTTTCGGGCTGGCGCAGCTGCGCGGGCTGTCATGTTCTGGGCGGGGACCCACTAGCGAGCCCGCACTTCGACATCACGCAACATCACGGTTTGCGGTAAATACCACGCAAAAATGCTCACGGCCAGC